AGGATTATCGATAGGTATATATAGTCTATAAATATAAATAAGCTTTACTACTACTATCTTCTCCTCTATGCTTTTATCTAATGTCGAGTCTAAATCCTAATATTATCATCGCTTTCGTAGTATACTATTCTTAATTCTAATATTTAAGATAGTTCGCAGTCGAGTCCCTTAGTATACGAATAATAGTGAGAGGAATGCTGCGCGTTAAGTGCGATAGTAAGAGGGTATATAGGGTAATCGGTATTAGACCGTAATACCTTAGGTATATAGACTTTAATAGAATATATAGCGCTTATTCTAATATCTTATAACCCTAGCTGGCCTTTACGTTCTCTAGTTAGATAGTATAGGAAGTGGCCACTCCTTAGCGAGATATTTCTTTATCTCGACCTAAATACCCTTATTTACTATATAATATACTACCCTATACCGATTTAGACCTTAATAAAGATGTACTTAATTTAGCTAACTCTAACTACGATAATAACCTTAGAGCGTAGAATGACCTAAATATTGAAACTTTATTATAAGCTAGCGTAAGTATAGATATATTAGATCTATCTACACCTTAAGACGCCTTAGATTCTCCCTATAGCTCTCGTATCGCGTTACCTAAGCGACCTAATCTATCGCGTCTACATCTACTTTATCACCTTTAACCGCCTTCCCCACACCGCATAAGATCTCCTATAAGGTCCTGTATACGCTCCCGTCTACGCTCCCCTTCTACTAATTTAAATAACGAGGCGGCCCTTCCCCCCACTACCCTTATATACTTCCTCACTACTTAGCTACTCTTGGCCGATCCCGCCTAGACGTTACTTAAGCTCACGTAGAATGCACTGAGTACTCCTCCTCTACTACTCAAGACCCTCTAGTAATGCGAGAGCTAAGAGGAGGGTCCTCCCCTCATTAACTATCTAAGCCTCTACGCGAGTCTTAACTATATTTAGTACTACTTCCCCCCCGATAAGTAGCTCCTAAATATTATCGCGAACCTATCTATTAAGCGCCTAGACGCTACGTATATAACTAAAGAGCTTTAATACCTCTTTATAGGCTATATCTATAAGGTAGATTAAAATCTTCGACTATATATTGACCCTTTAGTCAAAGAGATCTATAACTATATAGTTATGAGCGAGTTTAACATCGATAGCTTAGTACTCTTTAGTTAATACCTTAATATCTTCTAATAAGGTATCTTATAGTACCCTTCTTAGATACCCCTAGGCGCCTTAATCACTAGTATATATATAAAGCTAATATTAGTCTAGTACTATAATAGTTATAGTTACTTCTATTAGCGTTAAGTTCCTATCTATTACATTCTAAACTATTATTTTACTTATCTCCCTAGGGTGGATAGATTTACGGCGCATTAAGTCTTTATATAACTTTACTAGCCGTTATTATTTAGTATGGCGGAGAAAGAAGGATAGTGACTTACTAATTAATAGTTCTAGTATTAGACTAATTATATCTTAATCCTAAGCCTTCGTGAATACCTCCCTTCTAGCCGTCTTTACTATCTTCTAGTTAGTTTTAAGTAAGCTTAAGCTAACGCTTAGGCCTTATATATGGAGACTTAAACTATGGCCGTAGATACTACCATCTACTATTAAAATCTATAGTATGAAATCCCCGCTACCTACCTTCTCGCTATCTAAGAGGCTATCTAGTGCTAGGCCTAAGCGCCTAGTAATCACGAATTTTAAGACGTCTATATTATTATTGGTCGGAGGACATAGAGTAGATTGGCTCATAGGATCGTACCCTTTTAGGTAATGTACGTGACTGTTAGGAAGCTTAGTTAAGTTAACTATCTGAGAGGAGAGAACGCTCTTATATAGACAAAGGAAACACTACTAGATAGTGATAGAAGTACCTCGAAGGTAGATTTCTAATCACTATTAGTAATCAATCACGTTATAGTAACGCCATCCTTAACGCCACCGCCTATATCACGTGATCTAGTATAGACTAGTAGCGTTAACTAGTCACGTGATAAGACGCTAGGCCTAATTGGGCTATACGCCTAAATGGCGATATTCCACAATTATCGTAGGTAAAAAGTTAAAGTTATAGCCGTAGAAGACGGCCTTATTGTGATAGGTTGAACCCAGGAGAAGGCTCGGTTCTGGCGAACCAGCGCCAAGACTAACGCTAGGAAATACTGCCTCCTAATTAGTCAAGATTTGCCTGTACAATATACAGGCGAAATACTGCCTCCTGATTAGTCAAGACGCACACGGTGTAAGGGATATAAAGTCCTGATAGCTAAGACACCGTACGTAAGGGAAGGTAAGGAGTTAGAATAAGTACGCAAGGGAAGGTAAGGAGTTAGAATAAGTACGCAAGGGAAGGTAAGGAGCTGGAATAAGTACGCAAGGAAAGGAGTAAGGAGGTGAGGACAATAGTTACCTCCTTACGGTGCGTTAGAGGATATAAGGAGAGAGGAAGGATAGCCATTCCTTCCTTCTCTCTCCTCAGATTTATCCTCCTTATTACTAGGTTAGCTAGCTAGTTGTAGAACTCTTTCCAAACCCTCACACTTATAGACTATTACTATTAACTACTTTTTTTACTAGTTTAAGCGGTAATTTAACCCTTAGTATTTTAGCGAGGATATAATATATATAGATATTAGTAAAGAGATGCTCTCTCTACCGTCTTATAGTTTACTCTAGCGTAAAGACTTTCTATACCTCTTTATAGTATACCTCTAATCCTTAGACCCGAAATCGCCTATATTAACGCTAACTCTCTACCTATAGGGATTTATTCGCGGAGTAGGAAGTACTACTCTAGAACTATTACTCTAATGTTAACTCTATAATAAGGGTATCTTCTATATCTAGTATTACTTAGATTTTAAAGAGATCTTAGTCGTAGGAAAGACCTATCTCTTCTCTAATTAGGGGTTTTCTAGCCTTACGCTAAGCCCTAAAGTTATCGCTATATTCTAATAGATCGATAGGGCTATTAGTGCTTAGCTAGAAGTCCTAGCTTATACCTTAATTTATAGTAAGCTTCGCTACTACTATGGGCTCTAGGCGTCGGTAACGGAATTATTTAGAAATCGCTAGGAGAGCTACGTAACTCTCTATCTCCTTTGATAGATTTACTAATATACTTACCGCCTCTCTACTATCTTAGCCCCGTTTACCGTAACTCCTACCTACTCTTAGATTATCTATTCTACTTGTTCGAAGGACATGGAGTGTAGGTAGATTGGCTCATAGGATCGTACCATTAGGTAATGTACGTGACTGTTTAGAAGCTTAGTTAAGTTAACTATCTGAGAGGAGAGAACGCTCTTATATAGAAAAAGGAAACACTACTAGATAGCACTAGAAACTCTAAGTAGGTAGATTTCTAAGCGCTATTAGTAATAAGTCACACCACTAGTAATGCCACTTATATCACGTGATAAGACGCTAGGCCTAGTTAGGTCATACGTCTAAACGGCGATATTCCACAAGAGTATAAGACGAATAGCCTTATTAGGCTTAGCGTCTATATCAAGTGGTTAGTGGAGTACTAGTTACCTATTTAGATCTAGTACTCGGTGGCGCTACTAGGTGGTGTGATCACTTACTGTGGAATATCGCCATTTAGACGTATGACCTAACTAGGCCTAGCGTCTTATCACGTGATATAAGTGGCATTACTAGTGGTGTGACTTATTACTAATAGCGCTTAGAAATCTACCTACTTAGAGTTTCTAGTGCTATCTAGTAGTGTTTCCTTTTTCTATATAAGAGCGTTCTCTCCTCTCAGATAGTTAACTTAACTAAGCTTCTAAACAGTCACGTACATTACCTAATGGTACGATCCTATGAGCCAATCTACCTATTATACTCTATGTCCTCCGAACAACTCTCATATTCCACACTACGTATTAGGATTCATATATTAGATAGTATCTCTTCTTAGTTCTACAGGCATAGTTCTTTTTATGGTAGAGGTAGTAGAATGTAGGCCCCATAGGGCGTATAGGGAGTAGGCTATATGACTTCTGATGTTTTGATAAACCTACCGTGGCGAATAGCTTTTCGCAGAAGTTGCATGGCACATGTCTCTTCGGATCCCACGATGATCAGCCATCCTCTAGTATCACGAGACTCCCTGTTAGATATGGATCTCAATGAGTTCATGCTCGATACCGACTCCACTGATATTGAGAGGCACTTTACCAACACATCCTTCGAGACGATCCTGGGTGTTACGAGGCATTCTACAGACTTCTACACTTGACGTCGACGGCGACAATGACACTGGCGTAATGTTGCGCAGCCTTACGCGCAAGGTATACAGGTGTGCCCAGAAGCCCAGGAAAGGCCATGTGAGACTCACACCCGCATCTTGTTCTGCCGTACACCATTCTGCTGTTTGCCAGTGAGCTCTTAGCTCCATCGAGCTTGTGACTGCAGTCACCGGCCTGGACTATACAGTCGAAGCGGGACCAGACAGGCTCCTTCGAGGCGTAAATGAGACACGGAGTCGGGTCAGCTTTGGACGGCCTTTACGGTGAATTGTACCAGTACGCCCGCCAGACTATATTTGTACTAGAAGCCACAGCCCATTGAGATGCGGTTCTTACTGTCCCCTGCGATAAGCTCGCGGGCTTTCAACCGGCTTTCTCCTCAGTATGATGACAAACCCTTATCTCGGATTCTTGATCTTGCTCCCCCGCGTTGAGAACCGCCTACAGTGGCTGGCTGGGTGTGAGCCTCCGGCAGCCGAGCTGCTTATCAGCGCTAGGACAAGCCTGGTGTAAGGGGCTCGTTGTAGGCTCTCGCTCACCAATGACACATCACGAGGCTATGAAGGGCTTATGCTCGTAGCGGGCCACTCTCGGGAAGAGTCTTCTGTTGTTTCCCATCCTTGAAGGGCCGAAGTAACCGAGAGACAGCGTTTGTGATAGGCGCTGGTTGACTGGAGCCAGGGTGAGTTATATATACTTCCATCTGCCAAATTCTATGATTTCCGTGGATCTAGTAATCAACACCCTTAATCAACCATCTGTTCTCTTTTGCGGACCGGAGAGAAAGCTCGATTATCTTCAACACCTCAATAACAACCGAGACCTGAACGGTGTTCTTGGACGGGTCATTGGCCCAGATCGATTCGGCGAGTTCGCGGTACACTTGGCGATAGTCTCCTCGCTCGGTCGGGATTCTATAGCCGTCCATCAGCAAGGCACAGAAAAGAGATAACTATGGCGAGCTCATGCATCAAAAGGCCGTGTCGCATCACAGAGGAAGACCTACTTCTCGTTCTTAAATGAGCCATCTGGCTGCACCAATGTCGCTGTTCCCCATTTGGTCTCGGGCTCCGTCCCATAGGAGGGAGAATTCACCTCTCCTCTGTCGAGGGCGAACCATTGATCGTCTTCATAATGCTTCACAAAGCCACCTTTGCTCGCCTTGATTACGAATTTGGGTTGAGGGTCGAGGGGAGATATCCAATTGGTGGTAGCGCGTACAAACAGGGGCACGATAGAACCCGGCCGCGCAGGGTACATGAAATAGCAATCGAACTAAGGTAGATTCGTTAGACTCAATCTTTGCCGAGTGCTTGAAGCACAACGCCATATGACGCTGTGATAAAGACTTACGCAGTCATCCACGCCATGGCCTCGGACACCCCAAACGCGGCCCAAGATCTTCTCAGGAAACCCGAACAGACACCAGACTTGGTCGATAATGTGAGTCCCAGTCGCGTAGATGCCACCTCCGTTCTGAGCTGGGTCATCTTTCCAGTGGACTTCAGTGGTGGTGTTGTTAGCACCTTCGAGAACCACGTCCGCCGGCCGGTAGAAGTCATAGAAAACCTCATAAGAGCATATGGGGCCAAGCTGGGCACCGGAGTCAACGACAGGCCCTGGGAATTGTCGTTCCCACTCACCGTATTGGACTCGATCAACCTCTTGACTGTCAAATAATCACCGTCCCATCTTCGGCACTGGAAGACGCCGAGAATTTTGCCCGCTTCTCGCGCGAGCTTTTCTAACTCTTCAGACTCGACAGACGAGTATGTCAAGGGCTTTTCGGAAAAGACTGTACGATTTCAAAGCATTGGTTGCTGGCCACTTGGATTTAAAATGAATTGAGACCCATGGTTGCTTACCATGTTTTCCGGCGCGTAATGAACGCTTGCAATAGTCGAAGTGGGTTTTGTCGCTTGTGGTGACCACAACGAGCTCTACGGCCTTGTTTGCGAGGACCTCATCGAGGGTGGCGACCACATCGATCTTGTCACCACACACTGACTTTGCAACACCTGCCATTTTGCGCTCCATCACAGTCGTGACTTCGAACATGTCAGGCAAAGATCCTAAGAGCGGCCAGTGCAGGTGGTTGAGGGCGATGCCCGTCCCGAGAATAGCAGTCTTGATTGGTGCAGGCATGCTGGAAAGCCTCTGGTGGCAGATATCTTGAGGGCTCTGCGCAGGACGTGAGCAACTTGTTGAGCAAGATATGTTCTCTTCGATAAAGATCGAGGGGGCACAGATCGCAAAACTCCCTCCTATTCTAATATGCATTAGTCATGCAACTTTGCCGCCTTGCGATTCCGGTACCAAAGCCCAACCTGCACTGCTCATGGTTATCATCGTGCTACTGTATAACCAACTCCACAGCACGATAGTGCCCCATGGCGGGGTAAGATGGTAACCGGCTCGCCTTGGGTGTCTCGAGGGCTGATGGAAAATCTGGCTTTTCCACCGCGCGGCCAAGCGAAGAGATCAACGGCTACACGTACAAAGGAGGTGGTTGGGTAGCTCCTTGTGGCGGCCATGAGCGGATAGCGGTTGGCGGTTGGCGGCATGCAAAGCCGCCGTACCAAACGCGGTGCCAGGCAGGGAGAATCAAGTCCCAGCGCATGACCACAGTGGTATTACGATCGATAGGCGAGCCCACGAGGTTCTCCACGTTTCCAGGCCGTAATAATTCGACGAACCAGCAGACCGGGGAAGGAATGAGAGTCTGTCCGGGTCTCTCGTGTTTGTAACAAAGCGGGTCAAGGTATGGAGTCGTCCGTGTCAGCCGTAAGCAGATGCCAGGGTACGGATACGAGTAGCTGACGAGCCGTTGTTCGCCCCACAGACCGGCCCCATGGGGAAATCACACGCCATGGAAGCTCTGGGCCTCTGCCTCGGTCTTTCGTCCCTATTGTTGATTGATATAAAAAGGATGGCCGATCCCAAGACCGACCCGCAACACACCCATAGTTGTGTGAACATTTGATCATCTTGTCCTAGCGCATTCACAAAGCTGCGAGGCCCAGTGGCACCTGACTTAGCAGTCATGCAGGGTGACAACATCAAACAACACCCTCTGCCCGAGGAGAAGGGCGCTGAGACCGTGCACACAGAGAGTGCAGACAAGGATGCCGGTCAGATCATTGCTCAAGACACCGGGTTTGCTAGATTTACCAGGATCCAGGCTCTGAAGTACTTCTGGTACCCCGGGCTCCTGTGCGTTATGGCAAACCTTGGTGTCATGAACGATGGCTACCAGAACCAGTTACCTGGTAAGTACCTCCCCATACAACCGACCGGGAAAGATTATGTACGAATGTCTCCGTCAGGCAATATCATCAGCAATCAGGGGTTCATCAACCAGTTCGGTACAGTCCATTCGGAAGGGAAAATTTCCCTCGCTGCGTCCTCGGTCTCTCTGTGGGGTTCCATGATGCCAACCGGAATGATCTTTGGTAGTTTGCTGGCTGGTTGGTGGAACGACAAGTTTGGTCGGCTGGGCGGCATGTATTTCTTCACCTGCTGCTACATTGTTGTAAGTGCTGGATATATTTACGTGTTGCTCTCTGGACTCACCAACTATCTAGGGAACGATTCTCGAAATGACTGCCCATGCACCTGCACAGTGGGCTGTCGCAAAGCTTGTGTTCGGCGTTGCGCAGGGTCTCACCACTGCCACTGTCCCAGTTGTAAGTCGAACCCATTCAATGACTGAATATGATGGAGCGTTGATTGGACGTAGTATGTGACCGAGCTTGCGCCTCCGCAGATTCGGGGGACTTTTCTCATGCTCTATGGCTTTCTATTCGCGATTGGTCAGCTGCTGGCATCAGTCATCTTGTATGTGATTCAAAACCACAACCCGCTCGACTGGCGCCGTGCCATCTACACGGAATGGGCCTTTCATGGACTTTGGATTTTTGGTGGGCTGTTGTGGCTTCCCGAATCCCCCTGGCACTATGCACGCAAAGGGCAGGACGAAAAGGCACTCAAGGTGCTGAACCGCGTCTACAAGCACGTGAGTACGTTCGACCCGGATCACGAGATGAACGCCATCAAGTATGAGCTGGAACGACAGAGAGCCGATTCGTCCGCTGCATCCTGGATGGAGCTGTTCCAGGGCACGAACCGAATCCGAACTGCTGCGGCCTCTTTGGCAATCTCTACCCAGATATTCTCCGGAGTGATTGTTGTTTTCACCTACACCTCCTACTTCGTTCAACAGGCTGGTATCGGAGATCCATTCTTGGCCACTATGATCGTCACTATTGTGTTGCTGGTCGGCCTGATCTGCTCCTTCTTTACGGTTGAACTGGTTGGACGACGAACTCTGATGATTACAGGTGGCATTTGCTGCACCATCTGCAATCTGGTCATTGCCGTTACTGGATGCTTTCACAAGACGAAGGCACTCAACAACGCCGCACTGGCCTTCGTTTTTCTTTGGGTCTTCTCGTACGCCTCGTCCTTCGCTGGAGTCTCGTGGGCATTGGTCTCGGAGACGGGCACTCCTCGCCTCAAGGCTAGAACGGCAGCTTTCTCTACCATGACCTACGATTTGACTTCCACGATATTGACCGTGGCTGTTCCATACATGCTTGCGTCTTCTGGGCCAAGTGCTCGCAATTGGGGAACCAGGACTTTGTTCCTGTTCGTCATCACAACGGCACTGGCAACCATTGGAAATTACTTTTTGGTCCCAGAGGTATTTAACACCCTTCTCTTGCTCGTCCGCAGACTGGACGCTAATTTCAGATCCAATCCAGACCAAGAACAGAACCCAGGCCGAACTCGATGAGATGTATGAGAACAAGATCCCTCCACGCAAGTTTTCCAAATATGTTTCAGCTCTGGAAACGGCTGGAGGAAAGCGACAGGTGTAGGCCTATGAGAGGTGTGAATGGTGTGGGGTGGCCTACAAGAAGCTTGAGAATCACCGCCAGGACGATTTCGGCCGCTATAGTTCTCAGATTGTGCTCGTTTTGTACCCTGCACTTCGACTTTGTTTAGTCCCAAGGATTGCAGTTCCTGGTCCAGTCGTCCGGATCAGAGGACCTGATTGCACGAAAAGCAAATTGGCATCGATTTCAGTTAGGGCGTGCTCTGTACTGGATATGCTCGAGTATAGCCCCACCCGATTTCAGTACCAAAGCAACTGCAAGAATGATTACATGCCTCTCCTTCTACGCTCTGTCGGCCTTATGAGAGCCTCACTATCCCTGAGCAATATGCTTAGACACAGTGTCATTGAAATTTGACTAATACAAGATTTGAAGCGTGCTCCACAAAGTCTAACGCTGGTATGGAGAATCACGACTTTGCGTGCCCAGAATGGCCGCCCACGATAGAAGAACGCTGGCGTGATTATAGCCAATGCATAGCGGTCCTGATAACAGGCGGCCGAAAGGCGGAATTGCGGATGCTGTCTAGCAAATTTGGTAATGGAGCAGGACCAGGTGCGGGATGAAGGCGAGCGGTACGCGGAGCGATCATTTTTGCTGGCTTGTAATGCGAGACCCTCTTTGGCCTCGGATAAACCGCCAGCCCGCGGAGACAGGGCGCCATGCATGTGCTCTGGTGATATTTTGCACGGCTCTGGTCTCCTGAAGAACGTCCAAAGACAGGAGTAGACTGGGCGAATACAAGGTCAGGTTTCACAAGCAATCCCGCCAAAGAAGGGTGGCAACCTGGAAACGACGGCAGCACAATTGGACTATTTTTGCGGTTTGACAGCCACCCAAGCGCACTAGAGTCCAAATCTGTATTGATGGTGGCCTAGGTTCTCATCCATTCGCCGTCCTCGCGACTATCCAAAGTGCGGCTGTTCCACCCGCCTCTGGAGACGGCGTGTCAGGTTTAAATCGCGGAGTTCAAGTCTTCTATTCGGTTCGCTATATTTGTATGCGTATTATATTTCGCAAAGAGCTACAGCTACAGCTACAGCTACAGCTACAGCAACAGCAACAGCAACAGCAACAGCCGGCCATGGCTATCGGCAGCACCAGCGCCAACGGCCACGTCGGCGAAACCGACGTCGTCGTCGTTGGAGCCGGCTTCTCTGGTCTCTACATGATTTACTCTCTGAACAAGCTTGGGTTCAGGGTCCGTGGTTTCGAAGCCGCAGACGATGTAGGAGGAACTTGGTGGTGGAATAGATATCCGGGAGCGCGCTGCGACTCGGAAAGCTTGACATATTGCTATACGTTCGATGAAGAGCTGTGTCAAGAGTGGACGTGGACTGAGCGCTACCCTAGCGGAGGTGAGGTTTTGTCGTATCTTTCGCACGCTGCCGACCGGTTCGATCTGCGGCGGCATTTCCAATTCAAAACAAAAGTGACCACAGCCGTGTATGATGAGAAGACGCGGCGATGGACTATAACCACCGGCACCGGTGACAGCGTCTCAGCAAGGTTCTTTGTCAGTGCGGTTGGCAATCTCTCGGTTCCTGCTACTCCTGCCGTGCCAGGCATCGACAAATTCGAGGGCCGCTGGGTGCACACAGGACGATGGCCGGCAGAGCCTATCGATTTCACGGGTTTGCGAATAGCAGTCATCGGTACAGGGTCATCTGGTATCCAGATCATACAAGAGATCGCTAAGACGGCCGCTCATCTCACGGTGTTCCAGCGAACTCCGACATTTACCATTCCCCTACGTAATCAACCTCTCGACCCTGACGTCCAACGACTGTGGAAGGCCAACTACCCTGAGCTCATCAAAGTCACACGATACTCTCCCGGCGGATTGCCTTTCTACGTCGGTACGAAATCTCTGAAGGAAGCAACTCCAGAAGAACAGCGCAAGGGCCTGCAGGCTGGGTGGAACCTTGGCGGATTCCGGTTCATGTTTGGCACCTTTAACGACATTGGTTCAGATCATGAAGCCAACAAGGTCGCTGCTGATTTCGTGCGCGAGCAAATCGACGCCATTGTGAAAGACCCCGACACCGCCGCCCTGCTCAAGCCCACTTCCTATCCCATTGGCGCCAAGCGTGTCCCTTTGGAAACCAATTATTACCAAGTCTACAACCAAGAAAATGTCAAATTGGTCGATCTCCGGGCGTCTCCCATCAGGCAGATGACTACAAAGGGCTTGACCGCTGGAGACACCGAATACGAATTTGATTTGGTAGTCTTTGCAACAGGATTCGAAGCCATTACAGGGCCAATGCTCCAAATTGATGTAACGGGACGGGGCGGCCAGAAGTTGAAAGATGTCTGGAAAGATGGTCCTTACTCCTATTTGGGCTTGGCCACACCTGGGTTTCCGAATTTGATCACCCTCGCGGGCCCGGGCGGGCCTGGTGTCATCTCGAACGTCCCACCAACCTTGGAGCAACACGTCGATTGGGTTGCAGAGTGCCTGACCTACCTACGCACTCACAAGGTCGACGAGATCGAGGCAAGGGGTGATGCTACCGATGCCTGGATCAGCCATGTTCATTCTGAGGCTCAGAAAACCATGTACCCATACGCGCCCAGCTCGTGGTACGATGGCTCCAATCTCACGGGTCAAGTGCGGCCATTCCCAGTCTATACAGGTGGCTTTGGGCATTACCGCAGGATATGCGACGCCATTACCGCCGACAACTACCACGGATTCCTGCTGCACCAGGAAGATACAGACGAGGTCAATGATACACGTAAGGCCCACCCGGCGGACTGGTACAGGAATTTTCTCCCAACTTCAGCTGGCCCAGCAGCGACCAGATAGACAGCTTCACCGTCAGAGGCCACCCTCAATGAGGTTAGATTAGCATATAAGGTCACAGATGATGTCGAAGATACTGAATAGCGATCTGCCAAAGAGACAATTTCCAGGATGGACTGCACATGAAACTGTTACCATGATATTCCTATGTACTTTTGAGGCCTTATCGCGGGCCCTGTACCATGTTCTTGATACCCTGGCCCTTCAAGGTTGCACCCAAAGCCGTCTCAGTGTCCTCGAAGTCATAGAGCTGAGAGATTAGGTCTTTGACGGGAATCAAGGAATGTTGCAATGCGTCGATAGCTAGTCGGAAATCTCCCTCGCCGTGGCGGAATGCCCCATGCATGTGCAGTTCCTTGATGCTGAACTGAAAGATGGGGAAATCGATGACATGTTTGCCAATACCGGTCTGGACAAACTGGCCGCCCTTCCTCAGCACATGGACTGCGGTGTTGGTACAAATTGCAGACCCCGAAGCTTCTATCACGGCGTCTGCCCCCTGGCCGAGCTCGGCCTGTCTGATGATATCGGCAGCAGTCTCCTCGGGGGACTTGTCAGCGGTCGATTTGTAAGTGTGACTGTTCAGAAACCTTTTGGCGAAATCCAACTTGTGGTCCAAGATGTCGACAGACACGATTCCTCGAGCCCCGAACATTTTGACGACTGCTTCGCAGACCAGACCAATCGTGCCGGCACCAAAGATGACAAGGCCTTGCCCCAGTTTGATGCCGATCATCATTACCGAGTGTGCTGCCACGGCCAAGGGTTCAATCATCGCTCTCTCTTCCCAGGTGATATGGTCGGGAAGTTTATAGCAAAAGTCGGCCTGCGCCTTGTAGAACTTTGCCAAACATGCTGGATCGGCGGTTGATGATCCGGCAAACCTGATATTTGGACACAAGTTGTACAGGCCTTCTCTGCACCGAATACAGACCCGGCAAGGCGTAGCGGGTTCAACTGCAACTCTGTCACCGACTTTGAGATGTTCGACCTTGTCACCGACTGTAAACACAGACCCGACGGCTTCATGTCCTAGAGGCAAATATTCTGTCTGGGACACAGGTTTGCCGTCAATAGCGCCATCGTCCCAGAAATGCACTGTGTAACCGTGATTAGACGACTTTATGCAAACGACACTCATAGTAAAAGCTCGAGGGGGATAACTAACATCGCTCCCACAAACTCCGACACGTTCTATTCGGACAATTGCATCGTTGGGCCCGGTGACTTCTGGTATGTGAGACTCTTGTAGTCGGGCCTCTCCAGGTCCTATCACCACTACACTCGGGTTTTGCTGCGGAAGGTTCAGCTCATCTCTGCGCAATTTAGCCCGGATAACCTCACAAATCTCATGTTATCGAGCTTGTAGACTAGTCCTTTTCAACGGGGAAGAACTGCCCTTGTTCGACGTGTCGTGGATGAACTGTGCAATTTCTCAGAGCTTTTTGACTCTCGACTATGCTTTCCTGGGTGCTTCCAAAGACACCGGTTCTTCGCAAGGAGTCCGCTCGTGCCGGCGGGCGCAAGGCGGGAACCCGCCCTTCCGCAGACCATAGATCGACGACACTAGGGACAGCCGTTTTTGGAGACATACAGCCTGGCGAATCGCTCCAACAAGTATCTGTCAATGCATCCTTCCATTTTGCTGGTCGTACTCTGGCATAGATACCGGGTGACCCTTACCCTGAGACGAAACTTCAACGCAAGAGCCCTCACTTTTACCAACCACCCTGCGACGTCTGAAGCGCTTTTTGTGCGCTATCCGGTCTTAGACAGCCTTTTGGGATACACTCTCGACTTTGACAAACATGGGCGGCCACGTCGATGCACCGCCTCCTGAAGCCAAACCACGGCAAGGTGGCCCTGAGGTAAGCACGCAGTCGCTGTTTCGGTTGGATCGCCGAAGCATAATCGGTAGGTTGTGGTTATTTTTTGGGCATTCCTGACTTGGAACCAAGCACGGCTGAGAAAGACATAGTCACAGGAGGAATCGGGGGAATTGGTACAAAGGCTACGGAGGCTATATTGCAAAGTGGCGGGGACGCCGTTATCCTCGATCGGTACGAAAAGCCTTTGCAAGACGTATGGAGTGAGTCGAAGTCCATGGTCTCGGCGGGTTGTCACAGACCAGCCCAGATCTCAATCCATCCGCGTGAGGACGGTTGACTGAGTAAGATTTCTGGCAAGACGCTCTGGACGCGTGCGCGAAAAGTAACGGATCGAGCATTCTATACCGGTCTTGCGACGTGACCAGCGAGGAGTCCGTGCGGCAAGCCTTGGGAACGCTTCGGGAGGAGCTTCGACATCCCATCCGCGGGCTGTTGGCGTGTGTTGGTCAATCTGACACGGGCCCGTCGATTACCTACCCTCCCAATGATTTCCGCCGGCTACTCGAGATCAATGTCATGGCAACGTTCATCGCCGCCCAGGCGGTCGCGAGAGCCATGCAGGGCGCCGATCACAGCGGGAGCATGGTCCTCATAGCATCCATGAGTGGGCACGTCGTCAACCAAGGCGCCGACTCGAGCGCGTACAACTCGGCCAAGTCTGCCGTCCTGCAACTGGGTCGCAGTCTCGCCTCCGAATGGGGTGCCAGACGCGACATGCCCCTAATTCGAGTCAACACCCTAAGCCCAGGCTACGTACGGACCGCGGCAACTGAAGACGCCCTCAAACACGACGACATGGAAGCACGCTGGAATGGCCAGAATATGCTCCATCGACTCTGCTTCCCGGATGAACTGCGAGGACCAATCATTTACCTGCTGTCTGACGCGAGTAGCTTTATGACCGCCACTGATCTGAGAATCGACGGAGGTCATTGTGCTTGGTGAGGTGTCGGAGATAGCGGTATGGAGTCCATGGTGGTGTATTTCGTCAGGGGGTTGGCCCCTCGGATGAGTGCCACGCGAGTAAGATATCTTTGGAGCGTCGGATGCTTGTGAGATGCATTCAATCTTGTCTTGCTAATCTATAACTTCTGCATCCATCATCAGTATGTCATCTCATCTAGGCGAGTTCCCTGCCATGGTGGAAGTAGGTTTCTTACATCAATGAGAGTAGTATTTATTGGCTGACTGTGTGTCCGAAGACCACCTCACCCTGTAGGTCCTAGTAAATACTGCGGCCTCGACCGGAGACTGCAGTTCACTTGGGATTCAAGTAAAGAACAAAGGGCCTCCAATAGCAGAGCAGTCTCCAGGTGCGTAAAAGCTATATATCAATTTCCAACAGTCTCTGTGTACCATCTCCCAAGTTCCGTCAAAGTAGTCTTGTTTTCATCATGTGTATTGCTGCTTCAGTTCGAGCTGGTGGCTAGGCTATCCCCTGTCATTGCAGAAAATCAACGTGTGTCTCGGACTTGTCTCCTGCGAAAGTGACATGGTAGGCGTATTGGTTACGACGTAGCCTACTACCGGCGAGAAAGTCTTGGTCCTACTTTCGGCCTTCACTGGCCAGGGAACTCCACGTGTTCTGTTGGATCACCGGCAACGGCCTTTTCACCAGTGATAGTGGCCGAGGCAGCTTCGAAAGGTTCAGGGACTCCACCATCTCCACGAGAAGCCTCAAGAATACCCTTCGCCCTATCGCCATCGAAGCGAATTGCGATCTCCTTGATCGTCAAGTTCTTGGTCTCCGGGAATTTGAACCAGATAATGACGCAGAGCGCCGCCGTGATGCCTATGTAGACAGAGTAACTGCGAGAAAACGTCACTGTTAGTATTGCCTCAGGAAAACATCATGCACACCCCGTTGAGTCCGAGATTGTAGCAACACTCACTATTTCCACTCGATTGCCACACAGCGTGGTTTTTGATACCTCAGGTATCGAAAGGTATTATGATAATACTAGTATTAGCGCGTATCATAAGTATCCTTCCGAAGGTATTATAATACTTTAGCAGAAGCGTTTTGGGGCCAAAACTAACGGAAGGCCGAGTAAGGCGGGGGGGCGGAAATTTAAGAGCGCCTTTACGCTAGACTATATATAGATAGACTAGGCTCGATCTGAGTACACTAGTCTAGATATAGTACTAGTATTAAGATGCTAAGAGCATAATGATGATACTAATACTACCTAATTAATACTAGTATTGTATTAGGCTTATCGATACAGTATCGAAAACCACGCTGTTGCCGCAAGTGCAATGGGGTTCACCCAGGTGTTGCCAGCAACTACTAAGGTTTGAAAGCAGACGAAATTGGCCTGGCCCTTGGTGTGAATCGAGAAAGGCAGAATTTCGATTAGATAACTAGGTTATATTTCAGCACTTGTGCCGTGGTGGGAGTGGTAGGCGCACACTTACGAAGATGCCAATTGCGTCCAAGCCAGATCATAGGCGCCATAGAAGAGAAATAGAAAGGGGATGACGGCAATACCGACTCCACTGGCGTGGGATTTCGAATATGAAGCAGAAAGACCCATGACGGTGATTAGATTGGCGAGCATGCCAGCTGTGGACACCAGCCACAGAGGACGTCGGCCGATATGGTCCACATATACAGCGGCGATTGTTGAGACAAAAACTAATTCACGCATCAGCGTTTTAAATTTTTGGAACAAGCAGCAGGGAAAAACTTACAATTCCACACATTCATACCGATAATGATCTCCAGCTGAGATCTAGAGTCCGTGATGCCCAGCGTCTGGAGGGTCGGACTGAGATAGTAGGAGATGATTCCATTGCCGACCCAATTGGTGCCAACAGAGACAACTAGAATGATTGGGAGTCGATGCCGATTTCCGGAGCCTCTCAGGTAATCGGTGTACTTGGTTTGGGCATTCTCGTCCTCTTCGCGAAGAGCCTCCTAAACCTCGCGCCATTCATAACCAACAAGGGCATCGTCCTCATGCCCATTGGCGTGATACCTGACAAGGACTCTTCGGGCTTGTTCAAGCTTCCCCTTTTTTCGCAAGTCACTACACACGATGAGCTCGAGGTCTTCTACCCTCTCGACTTGACTTACCCGCGGAGATTCCGGAGCTGTCAGCGTCATCAGAATGGTGAGCGCAGGCCCAACGGCCTGAATGTAGCATGGTAACCGCCATCCGAGTTCGCCTTTAACTCTGAGGCATCCCAAGCAGGCACTTCCTCAGACAATGGCGGCAATGTAGTAGATGCAGGTGTCTAGCCAATGTCAGTCGTTGGAATACAGTCGGAGAATACTATCACTTACAGAAGCCACCAAGCTGGGACCGGATCCGAGGATGTGCAATTTCTTGAAGCATCGGAGGAGCGGCAACCAGAGCAAAATTCACCCCGAATCCCATAAAGGCACGGCCGCCGCAGAATGAGGCGGTACTCTTCGCTGTGACCATTACAAATGATCAATCTATCACACCGCAGTCAGTGGTTCTGAGAGAGGCACCGCGGTGGCCCGAAACTTACAGAGATGAGAGAACCTAGCCAGACTGTCGGTCGACGACCGAAGTACTGGCCGAATCGATCTGCGGCGAACCCAGCAGCGACGCCCGGGAGAAATCCAGCCGAAGCCATCAAGCCAAGGGTGTGGGCCGAAGGGGTATGAAAATAGTCTTGCCATTGATTGATGCTTTGGATACCATTGAGTAGACTGCCGTCATCTTGTGCAGAGTTAGGGAGGCAACATCTATGAGTGCGGGTTCTCCTATAACATACATCCATTGAAAAACAAAGTCAATGCATAGACCGAGGCAATGAAATACATTCATTCTCAAGCCTGTGAAGCCTGTCAATGATACAGTATTCTTGTTTCAAGGGCACTGGTTCAAAGACCTACATGGATCCAGCCACCAGTGTCCATGGGTATTGTTCGCGATGTTCTTGAAGTCTGGCACGGTTGTGCCAGCGACATGAGAAGCAACCGGGCCGCCCATGATGGATTCTCGTGAAGCAAAACAGACAAGCAAAACAGAGCAGCAATTATGCGTGTGGGTTTTCGAGAATTTTGAGAAGCAGTGCCATCCCAGAGTATTCATATAGTCCTTTGTTTTTCAAGAGGCAGCATGATCTCGCTTCTTTTAGGGGGGCCATCGCTCAAGCTTACCCCGATATGTAATTACGGTGCCCCAGCCTGAACGCGCTCTGCCCATGGGCCTCTGCAAATCCCCGTTATCTTATTCTCTTTCCTTGCTACGATGTAGCACTGGAATTGAATCTGGATCTAAAGGTCACCATGATACGCCATGAGCCTGTATTCGGTCTTCGAAAATGGTTTAGCCTAAAACTTTTGCGGTACGTGACGGTAGATCACCTCTCATTCGAACCTAATGCTGCAGACTTCCATCGAGGGGTAGCGGAGGCGGCAACGAGCGGTATACCGCCAGGCAAGCGCCGGATTGTGAACGCTCGCTCATTGGCCCTCTCAAAGCTGTCGAAACGCGAACTGACAATGCGAAAATCTGCAATCCTAGATCCGGCTTCAAGTTTTGTTGAAGTACAAACAGAAGTGCCTCAATCTCGCCACTGACTTTTCGGGGTCAACAAGAAAGAAACAAGCATTATGGCTGAAGCGCACCCGTTGTCAGCCAGGACCCTGTTCGATCTGCGAGGATGTGTTGCAGTTGGTAATGCTGAAAATGCGAGCTGGATTGAGCATGTGGCTAACTTCCCCTTAGTTACTGGCGGCGGAACGGGGATTGGCCTGAGTAAGTCGAGTGCGATCGTCGCTACTTATTGGACTCGACATTGACGAAAAAATTAAGTGATCGCACAGGTATTTGCAGTGAATGGAGCAAAGGTGTACATCACAGGTCGCCGACGTGAAGTCCTCGAAGCCAGCGCCAAAGCGCATGGCTCACCCGCGGCACTAGGCAATTCGGGAGGCTCGCTAGTCCCCCTGCAGATGGATGTGACTTCAAAGGATAGCATTCGTCGAGCCGTTGAGGAAATTTCCAAGAGCAACGACTACGTCAACATGCAAGTGCCAGAGCCGTACTCGAAGCAATCCGATGACTGACTGGGAAGGATTCCAGACTCGTAAACAATGCTGGTATTGGTAGTGGGCGAGCAGCAGCCAAGCCTGAAGATGGACCCGAGGTTTATGGGAAAGCTATGTTCGACGAGGACATCAATGACTGGCAGCAAGGTACCTCCCCCTCCCCGGCATATCTCACCAGAATATGTCTTTCGCTAAGATATTGCCAGTATCCTTGTCCAACAACACCCAGATCTACTTTGTCAGCGCTGCATTCGTGCCACTTTTGTCCGCGGCTGTCAAGAGTCCTTCCCATGCTCCAGGCAACATCATCAATGTTTCCTCTCAAAGCGGAATGACAAAATGGTAAAGTTTCTCAATGAAGAGAAAACCGACCACCGTAAATTGACTCTACGAATGCAGGTCACAAAACAGCCAGTACGCCTACAACGTACGAGACCGCCGCCGCTTGATGGCATCTCGCTGACATGGGATGCAGTGCAGTAAGGCGGCGGCCAACCACCTCACGAAGATGTTGGCATATGAGTTGATCACACCCGGAATCAGTATTCGAGTCAACGCCATATGTCCTGGTACGCGCCTAAAGGGGTGATCCCATCACCTTGGTGACCTGCAACTCGAGAGCTGACCAATACTTTGACTGAAGGCTATTTTCCATCCGAGCTCACGTACGGCAGCTCCGACGCCACGAACAAGACCAACTGGCCGCAAGAAGAGTACGACGCAGAGATGAAGAAGGTGGGCGCCAACGTGCCCACGGGGCGTCCTGGAACAGATCAAGAAATGGCAGGAGTAAGTCGATCGCTGAAATGGCTTGATAAGACTTTGACCCAACGGCGGATTCTGTGAACTGACTCTTTGCCTCTCATCAGGCTGTACTGGTTTTGGCGACCAACGGCTACATCACGGGAACCTGCCTGGCCGTTGACGGTGGAATTCTTCTTCGTCACCCAGCCTGTGTCTAAGCGGAAATTTGGAAAGCATAGTTCACGCCCTCGGGAGCGCGATCTTATGGGTGGTTGAGAATCGAGGCGCTTAAAGCTTTCCATTATCATTCTATCAAATGAAGCCGACAGAATGTCGAGCGTGATATGGCTCTTCCAGGAATTTGATCTCGTCGTCATCTAGCTTGACCTCCAGTGTTTTCACGATCTCGTCGAACCGTTCGAGCTTGGTTATTCCCACTATCGGTGCACACACGCAGTCTTTGTGCAGCACCCACGCCAAAGCGACCTGCGCCATGGAAAGTCCACGTCGAATGGATAGCTTTTCCACTCGCCGGTTGATCTCTTTCTCCCACTCTTCGTTTGTTATCGCTTCATCGTGATACAGATCGGATGTCGACCGCACGGTTTCGTATGTCCTGGAAAGTGGACGAGTCAGGTGGCCCTTTGCCATGGGGCTCCATGGAGTGGAGCCAGCTCCTAGATACTTGAGCAAGGGCATCATCTCGCGCTCTTCTTCTCGATACAGCAAGTTGTAGAAATTTTGGCAGTTGACAAAAGGGGTGAGGCCATTGTTGAGAGCATAGATTTGCATTGCATGGAACTGCCATGCCCAACAGCTGCTCATGCCAATGTAGCGAACGTAGCCTGCTTGAACCACGTCGTGCAGGGCTCTCATGGTCTCCTCGATGGGAGTTTCGTAATCGAAGCGATGGAGTTGTAGGACGTCAATGTAGTCTGTTTGTAGTCTCTTCAATGCTGCCTTGACGTTGTCGAAGATGTGCTTGCGATTGTTCCCCTGTGTCAATGTGTAGCCCGCCGGCCCTTACTTCTCAGGGTCACCGACTGGATTGCACGACTGGTTTTCAAGATGAGGAAGCTTTTCACTTAAGAGTCTCGTGCGGACATCGTACCTTGGTCATGATCACGACGGACTCGCGAGGAACAGTCTGAACGAACTTCCCGAGAATTTCCTCGCTGGCTCCATTGCAATAGAAGTTTGAGGTATCAAAGGTATTGAATCCAAGTTCCCAAGCACGCTGTTCGGCTCAAAATTGGCCCATCTCAACTTACCACGGATAGAGATTTGTGATGCTTTCCTTCAAATGTGTAAGGGCTTCTGCTTCCTCAATTCTCCATGCGACATCGCTTTTGGTCCCGTACGAAGCACACCCCAAGATCAAGCGCGATACCTAGTAGCGTTAACACCATTACTGACCATGCGCCCGTGGCCGGGCTCACCTTTAAGCCACTGTTCCCGAGACGCACATATGGCATCTTGGGAAGGGTGTCTGCTGTTTGCGCTGCCATGATGTAAGCTATTTGGAGCGACAAGCATGAGAAAGAAGGTCTATCCAAGTCCCGCTACAAGGAGAATTGCAATGTATCAGTATACTCGAGTATTGATGGTCATTCCTAGTATTAGTTATCTGTAGCGGCGTACTGTGACTGTCGTCCAAGCGAATTTGCTCTCGCTTTTGGTGGACCATGGAAAGAACCAGTAGAATTGTACGTGAGGCTCCACAGTTTTGATCTGCAATGCTCCGATGAGAAACTGTCTGAGAACTTCCCCACGAATCCTGATCCATACAAGGCGGCAGGCGGCAGAAAAGCCGCCTGGGACTTTGCCGCTCTTCGGAGCTCCGGCGGCGGCGGAAGCTGCCACCAGCTGCAAACCTGATCAACACGAATCGGTCTTCATGTTTAGCAAAATACTCTCCGTAGGAGTCAACCAAGAGCGACAATCGATTCTCGTCCACCCTCCTGATCTTACTGGTCAGTTTCCCCACCCAGTACATCGCCAATTCCCCCGCCTCCGGGGTTTCTTTTAGTGGACGTGGCGAAGTTGGGATGCCTCATCTTGAAAAGCTTGACTAGTTCGGAAACTCCCACTGGCCACACTTATATCTTGGCTGATAGAATGCGTTATCAAGCCGAATGTAGAGGCAGCCTAATACCAGTATTGTATTGCATGAAGTGCGATGCATTATTCGCCCACCGCAACTTCCTCTGAACACTCGATCTACGGTATGGGAGGCATTACAGCCAACACAGCTCCAGTGCCGCGCATCAATTACAAGCAGTGTGCCAACAATACAAATTCGAACTGGTGGGCAGATCCTATTATGTTGTCAATTCCCCATGAGAAGCCTCCCTCGCGTACTGACAGGTGTTGGCTAGCCCTGCGTCGCAATGTATTCCATTGCATCGGTCTATGTGGCACGCTCTTCTTCAATGGATGTTCGTCATGTCCTTGCGCTGCTTTTCTCTCCATCCAGGCTAAGCAGACGCAGATGACGGAAGTCTTTTCAACGGACTTCAAACCATCAACTCGTGGCAGACCTTCTTCAGCCACCCCAAAGGCAACACTCTGGACCTGATGAACTCCGCTGCATTATTCCCTGGCTTGGTGTCGCCCTATTTCGCAGAAGTCATTGCCAGCCGATGGGGGCGACGATATGCTGTATGGGTGGGCATTTTTATCAATGTAAGTTGCGACATGTAACGAAGGACTTGGAGCAGGGTTGAAACGACTGATGTGGACATTAGGTTGTCGGAGCAGTTGTAAACTCGGCTGCGATCAACTTGGGCATGTACATTGCCGGCCGAGTCTTCATGGGTATTGGTATCTCTATGGGCCTCACTATTGCTTCGACTCTGCTTCAAGAGTTTGCCCATCCCCGTTTCCGAGCCCAGATTGGCAGCATGTGTAAGTTTTCCGCAGAACCATCATTATCCGGGTTGTTGTTCTAACCTAGATCATAGACACAACCATTTACTATATTGCGGCTGTTATCTCTGCGAGTATCTGCCTCGGCATACGACATCTTAGCGGTACCAAGGCCTGGCGCATCCCGTGCTACCTGCAGCTCGTAGGTCCGACAGTGACCTTTCTCATGACCATGACCATGCCGGAGTCGCCGCCCAGAGTAAGTAACTTCCTGCATTACCCTGCCATCTGTTTGATCAAAAGCTAAACGGTCTCTTAGTGGCTTGCGAAGCAAGGGAAATCCGACGAAGCACTACAAGTCTTGACTGAGTACCACACGAACGGCGGAGAGCCGGATGAGCTAGTTCGCCTTGAATACAAGGAAATCCCTGAAAGTTTGCGAGCGGAGGAGAAGAACTCGCAAACACGATATGTCGATTACTTGAGGCCGATCAACAGACATCGGCTGTTCATCCTCATCTCGATCGCCATCGGCACCAATTGGGTGGGCAACAGCATTGTGTCGTACTAACTGTCACCGATTCTGGCAAACATTGGAATCAAGTCTATCAAGGAACAGGCCGAGCTGAATCTTGGTCTGCAGATTTGGAACCGTGAGTTTTCTGTCCTCGTCCATCCCAACGTCGAACACGGATAAGTATACGAGCTGACGTTTGAAAATCAGTGATTCTGTCCACCATGGCCGCACTGTCTGTGGACAGAGTTGGGCGACGGCTTCTGTGGCTGGCTTCCACTATCGGGATGCTGGTCGCCTTCACCATCATGATGGGCTTGTCGGGAGCATATGCCCACGAAGGCACGAAGAGCCTGGGCATTGCCGTCATCCCGTTCTTGTTCATCTTCTTCGGCTTCTATACCATTGCCTGAACTCCGCTGTCAGACATGTACTCTGTCGAGATCCTGCCTTACAGTCTACGCGCAAAAAGGGCAGGCCATCTACGACATTTTTCAGGGCTCGGCCAACGCCGTCAATCAGTGGGTGAACCCTATCATTCTCAACGCCATTGCGTGGAAGTACTACGGGGTCTTCATCTGAATCCTGGCCGTGTATGTGGCCATAATCTACTTTGGCTTCCCGGAGACGAAGAACTTGACGATCGAAGAGATCAGCGTCATCTTCGATGGTGAAAGGGCTGACAGGGTCAGGCGAGTCGCCAACGAAGCTCATGACTCGACACTTGACCCTTCAGTGTCCACGTCCCACATCGAAGCAGTCCCCAAGCTAGCACAGGAGGTTGTGTGAAAGTAGGAGGGCAAGAGGCTTATGTGTAGATGTGCATACCGATGAAACTGGTGCAGATTTATTGCTTGCCTGAGGCCAGGAATCTTGACCGGAGAGTTTCTTACATAGTGCAAGCGTAGTATGATCAGCTCCAGCTCTGAGATGATTTAACCAGCATGAAATGTCAAAGGTCTACTATGTCTCCTTTTTGCCCCAGTGCTGCAACGTGCCGAATCACGCACATCCTCGAACCAGGAAGCTTCCACCATCCAATACGACGGTGCAGCCGTTGATGTGTCTACTGGCCCGACTTGTCAGAAAGACCATGGTTCCCGCGACGTCTTCTTTGGCGCCCAACTGCTGATCGGGAACCTGCTTGGCCACCGCCTCCAGTCCTCCATGTCGAGCCATCAGAGCGCCGCTCATCTTGGTGGGAATGATCCCTGGAGCCACGACGTTGACTGTGATGTGTCTCGGGCCGAGCTCCACGGCCAGATTGTGCATCAAATGGACCACCGCAGCATTGGAAGCGGCGTAAGCGTACGCTTGGGCCCGACTCGCGTTAGTTACTAGTAGCAAGCCGGGCCAAAGACGGACCTGGGAAATCTGTGGATGGGATGGGCATGGGCATGGGAAATCTAACTTACTGCCATGCTCGCCAACGTCTCCAATGACGACACCGGCAACGGAGGAGACCATGATGACACGAGAAGGATCCTGCACGGTGCCTGCGGCCTCGAGTAGAGAAGTCAATCTGAATCGAGTAACAGGGAGAGTGTCAGAAGAATGCTAACAAACTGGCTTAGGTATAGGGGGGTAATGCGCATTGCGCGGGGATTCGATCTCCAGAGGGCACAACACACGTACTGCTGCGTGGAGAAAAACACACTGTTGACGTTGACGTTCATGACGTTGGCAAAGTCTTGCTCTTTGTAGTCGTCAAACCTGCCGATGAAAGTGGCCCCGGCGTTGGCGACCAGGACGTCGACGTGGTCAGTGGAGCTGATGATTTGTCACGCCATCTGCACACAACCCTCGTACGTGGAAATGTCAGCCACAATCGGAATCGCCTTTGCATCGCCATGTTTGAGCGGCGTCGAGAGCGAGTTCAGGGCTTCGGCTGCTGCGTCAAGGTCCGCCGCACCGCGCGCGACAAGGTACACCTTGGAACATCCACTTTGCAAGAACCTGTTGAGAAGGAAAAACAAATCCATCTGCTAGGGCACATGGGTAGGCAAGATATAGGTGGTGGCAACGCGTGACCATCAACGGACTCACCCACTTGCTGTTTGAAGACCTAGTCCCCGTGAACCACCAGTGACGACGGCCACTTTGCCCGCCAAACCGAAGATCGTGTGGAAGTTGTCCAGCTGGACTGTTTCTTGAGGAGAGTCCATGTTGCTGCTAGTATGGGATGGGTGTGTCTTAGGGATGCACCGCCAATTGAGTCAGGATCAACGGCGTGGTAGAGATGATGGTGGTGGTGGTGGGAAAATATCAGCTGCCGGCCCTGTCTGAACAGAAGATTCAATGGTTGGCAAGCAGCCCCTTTTATATGAGAAAAGCTACTGTAGCTTAGTTCATCCAATAGCTCAACCGTCCATCTCCAACGTCACTAACCCAAGTCAGGGTCACCAAGCCGCATATGATACTAATTAGTATATGGTAACTTCTTCGCACTCAACGCCAACAGCCGGGCCAAAACATATGCACTGCAATCATACACAACGTGAGCGAAGGGACGCTTTCTACTATGGCCTGATGTCACACGAATTGGGGTTGGTTGGTGAGAAAGGAGAAAAGGACGTACTCTTGTCTCCAGGGAAATAAGACTCTATCAGAATGCATTGGGTCTATATACTATTCTGTCGATCCTGTACTAGGAGCCACGCCTAGAGGCTCCTCGTGAGAGGCAATCAGTGCACCGGAACGCAGAGTGAGTGATGCCCTTCTGTCCTACTTGATACAACGGGCCAAGTCAGATGATATCCGTTTGTCGACTGCTCATAAAGCACTCTTCTTTCAGCCTCACTGGCCCCTGCCACATCTATGATGCTGGCCCATTGACTGTCGGGATATGTTAGCCATTCGAGATCAACAACGAAATCGCTTCACTGACTGAGTACTTTGATGGTCATTTTGCCATCTTCACCTTTTCCTTTCCGAACACTTTCGAAAGCCAGCGGGGCGTCCTTGAATGGGAATCTGGGACGAAAGTGGATGAGATCGCGTTCACAGGTTGTCGCAGGCACACGTACCGATGGGTTATCAGGGGCGCCAGTTTGACACGACCTTGTCGAACCAGGTCGATTGCAAGGGCATAGCACCCAGGGCCGTACTATCGTCCAAAAAAGGAGGGTCAGCCTCGGGATCGGAAGATTCAGACATTCAACACGGGACCTCACCCTAAGACTGCCTTTCAAGGTGACCTCCTTGTTGACGAGGATGGACATTGGGATCAGATTGTTCGCAGGTCCGGCTCCGACTTGGACGCAAATTCCCCGCCGTTTCACCAACCAGATACCAGCTTGAACGCAAGTTTCTGCCCCGGAGCATTCAACCACCAGATCAATGCCTTCTTCTCCTCGCTCAGCAAACCCAAACTTATCCCTTAGATCTTGAGCCTGCCCCGGGTGGGTTAGTTGCAATTACTAAGTTAGGGGACTGCGCGGGACTGGGATGGATCTACACAGCGCTTTGAATAAGTCATGTTGTCCTCCCCTCCTGCCTTTGGTTCGAACCGATGGACGTCAGTTGCTACGTAGCTCTTTGCGAAGGCCAGTCTGCTTTCGTTAATGTCCACTGCGAGGATTCGTCGGGCTCCCAGAGCTTTGGCCACGGCCATGGTCCTGATGCATGCATGTTAATTTAGAGGTACTTGGCTCTGTGGAGGGCGGAAAAGACGAACAGGAGCCCAACAGGCCCTGCCCCAAACACAGCGACATTGGAATTGTGCTTCATTTTTGCAACCGAAGCCACAGCCATCACAGCGACCGCAAGTGGTTCAATCTAAAATTGAGCGCTTTAGCAAGCACGTGTTAGTTGAGAGAGCGATCCTGCTCACCAAAGCACCTTCTTCCAGAGACACGGACTAAAGGTTAATGGAGTCAGCCAATAGCCACCAGAAGGCTCGAGAGGGTTGGAAATTACAGTTGGCAGTTTATATGCACTAAGCCGTTTGTTAACATTTGACTTGTTCATGGCCAAGGTGTTGAGGAAACGCACAAATCAGCAGGGATTGTCCAGAATCCTTGAAGAGTGCCGTCGAAACCATCGGCGGCAGCAAACTTGAGCGTTCCACACTGCCCATCTATATATCCGTTCAGCACTTGGGATGAAGTTCAAACAAGCAAGAGATTAATACTGACATTCACCCGCTTTGCAGAAATCACAGTGTCGACAACAAATACCAGGCTATAGCATCGGAAAAATCAGATTCAAAACGTGGACAGGGGCCACACAGGCGGTGATGTACCTCAAGGGCAACACGTTCCCCTGGTTGAAGAGCCGTCACCTTTTTCCCAACTGCCTGGAAGTGAGCTTTCATGTCGCCGAGTCTGGGGTGGGTTGAGAGAGAGAGTCTGACACACTTTTAACGACGACGCCTGCAGCTTCATGTCCCAAGATCAAAGGGCTATCGAATACCGATTCTCCTGCCTCGAGTCCTAGTGTCAGCAAAACTCCCTTCAATGCTAAAGGCGACTGGCAACTGTACCCGTCCCTCCAAAAAGACATGCATATCCGAGCCGCTCGAGAGAGTCAGCGGATTCCCGAAAGAAAGAACATGAAAGCCTTCACCATAAGCCCGTCTGTTTGGGTGCTACAATGACGCTGGTTGCTGTTAGCTATTTGCGTTCCGACCTCAGATGTCCAGAGGCAGTCGTTTATCTGACTTACTCATGGTCACCTGGTTCACCTGGCAATGGCCTATCCTCTATGGCGAGCTTGCCGATTCCCGTCATCACACATGCTGTATTCTTCTCCGGTACAGCGATGTCTTCGTGCTTTGCGATCATTTTGGAAGGGTTGAGTAATGCAATGTAGGCTCTATATCGATCTACTTGAAATGGAAACACAATCAATTATCAGAGCATTACTGGTGTGTCGATGTGAGAGGCGTCCGTCACTGAGGCACCAGCCCGCACTCCTCCTAGCTCTGGGTCCTGGCTCGAGGCTCCGAATGCACCGGCTTCTGGGGGGCAATCCTCCAACCCGCCCGACATGTCGGTGCTAGGTCTCCATCAGACGGGAAACCTTCGTCGGAGCTTGTCCCATCAAAGAGTCGCGAAGTTCTACCGCGGAACAGGGGTGGAAGACCGCCACCCAATGAGAACGTTGCAGGCCGCCGTAACAGAAGTGACTTCACCCGCTTGAAAGCGAACAGTCCAGCACCCTTTACAATGGAAGTCCAGGAGATCTGGAGCTGGCATTGCCCCGATCATCAGGTGACGACCGATTGCGGAACGAGGAGGATCATCTTAGCCAAGGTGCCTAGGATGCAGTTCGAACTACTCGTGTAGAATGGTGGCCGTGCATTCGTTTTGCCGCCTCATTCAGGAGTGGTCATGGCGACGCCAACGGTATAAATATATAGTGCCGCATTGATTTGACCCTTTGGAAAGAAACGTATTTGGACTACTAGAAATCGTTAGTTGCTCACCTCAACAACCTCAAAAGGAGCACGAAAAAAAAAAAAAAAAAACCGGCAATGGCATCGATCATCGACACTCAGACCTCGGAGTCGAACAGACTAAGGTGCGTTACAGGGTCGATCCGGCCTCAGCTACGGGAGGTACAACCAGCTATGTTGGAGAAAGCCTAACAAGACCCGGCACAGGATCAATGCAGCAGGCGACGACTGCGACTTACTAGAGAGCCTTGAGCGAGACGGCTACGCCGTGGTCCGAGGTACCGTCCCCGAAGATCGGGCGCGTCAATATCGGCAGAAGGCCTTCAGCTGGCTCAAGTCGTTCGGCACGGCGCTCGACATCGACGACCCGTCGACCTGGAAGGCCGAAAACCTGCCCGTCCAGAGCAAGCTGAACACATTCGACAACTACTGCGTCGTGCACGAGAAGTTCATGTGGGACGCCCGCACGGAGCCGGGTGTCGTCGACGCCTTTGCCAAAGTCTGGGGCACCGACGAGTTGCTCGTCTCCTTTGACTCACTCAACGTCACGTTTCCGGGCCGTCAGGACAAGCCCCCTCGACCGGCGTGGCCGCATGTCGACCAGTCGCCGCACAAACGAGGGCGGCACTGCGTCCAGGGGATCCTAAACCTCAGCCACGCGGGCGAGGAGGACGGCTCACTAATGCTCCTACCGCGGTCGCACAACTACAACGCCCACTTCTTCGACACCCAGACCGACCGGGCGTCGTGGCCCACGATCGACTGGCGGCGTTTCAGCGAGCAAGAGATGACCTGGTTCGCCGACCAGGGTTTGGCCCCGATCAAGGTCCACGCCGAGCCGGGTGACCTGATCCTCTGGGACTCCCGCGTTGTGCACTGGGGCGGAGAGCCCACGGCCCAAAGCAATGTCATCCGCACCGTCATCTACGTCTCTATGTCCCCGGCTAGGCTGGCCACACGCGAGGCTCTCGACGAAAAAGTCCGCGTCTTCCACGAGTATGGCGCCACCACGCACTGGGCGCACGACAACATCTGGCTGAGGCCCAAGCTCGCCCATCTTCCAGACGGCTCCTTGGACCCGCGCAATCGCTCGGAGCCCCTGGAGAAGGCGGAGATGACGGTCCGGCTGTTGAAATTGGCGGGGGTTAAACCCTACTAAGCGTAATATGTAGATGGCTACTAGTACCAAGCAGTAGTACTCTCAAGTAGTTTTCCGCCATGGCGGAAGAGTCATGACTACATATGTATCCTTATAGGGGTCCCCTGACCTGGAAACAGTCGTTACTTTTCTGCTAGCGGGACTGGCGCTCTGAGGTACTAATTTTCCCAATCTGAAAGGCCGCCGGCCCTCAGACCGAGGAGTAACTCATTCGACGCGCTGACCGACACCAAGTTATAAAGTTTCTTTTTCTTCCCTCCTACATAACTCGCAAAGATCTCCCTGCTCCATTATCCCCTTATAAGTATCTACGAAACTCTAGCCCCAAGTTCTCACCCATTGCGGAACGCGGGACGCAGGACGCTCAGCCATGGCACTTGGGACGCCGACTATCTCACATCAAGGACAGGTCGAGATCGCCCGACTGGCCCAAAAGTTGCTCGGTACGGATCCGCCCTTTTTCAAAGATTGTGTGGTGTTTTTGTGCTGAATCTCATACTGATCCAGTTCTGCGTGACACAGGAAAAGCTCAAGTTGGAGCTGCCCGCGACTCCTCCTCCTCCTCCTCCTCCTCCTCGTCAGAGGCGGCAAGAGTGGTTGTGGGCATCGCCGGCGTGCCTGGGTCGGGCAAAACCACATTCGCCAATCTCGTGTGCGCCGAGATCAACCGGCGACATCGACAGCAGCTCGAAAGGAGTGACACCAGCATGACCAGCACCGGCAGCACCGCGATTATCGCCGAAGTCGTCCCCATGGACGGCTTCCACTACACTCGGGCTCACCTGGCCAGCGCCATGCCGGACCCCGTCGAAGCCATCCACCGGCGTGGCGCGGCCTTCACCTTCGACACCGCGGGCTTCTTGCACATGATACAAGCCCTGACGGCCACGCCCCGGCGCGACGTCGTCCTCGCCCCGGCCTTCGACCACGCGGCCAAGGACCCTGTCCCCGATGCCATTCGGATCCCGCGCGACGTCGACATCGTCCTGGTCGAAGGCAACTACTGCGCCCTCGACCGCCCGCCTTGGAGCCACGCGGCCAAGCTCATGACCGAAGTCTGGTTCCTCGACACCCCAAAAGAGGTGGCCCAGCCCCGGCTCGCGGCGCGTCACCTGGCCAGTGGGATCGTGGCGGATGAACAGGAAGCTTGGTCAAGGGCGACGAGGACGGACGAGCGGAATGCACAGGACATTCGAGAATCCAGGCTGCCTTGTGATGAGGTTCTGGTCATGACTTGAGACGGGGCGCCGTCACCTCACCTCCGTTGCTCTGGTTGCGAACTACTTCCTTCGGGGGGCTCTCATGTCCGGGAGAAACAGTTTTTGATCAAGGGTCTATGGTTTTAATCAAGAGGTCGTGCGCGAACATACTACAGTATCTAATACTAGTGCTTTAGAGCTTGATACTCCGAGAAGAGTCTACCACGCACAATGGCCACCGTCCACCCGCAGGTCGGTAGCCGTGATGAAGCTACCCGCGTCGGACAGCAGCAGCAAGATAGGACCCCGGAACTCGTCCACCGAGCTCAGGCGGTAAAGCATATTGTCTCCAACCCACTGGTTCTCCATGCCGGGCTTTTGCAACGCCTCTGCCGTCGCAGGGGTCCGAATGTAGCCAGGGGAAAGGGTGTTAACCCGGATCAGCGGCATGCCTTTACGAGACCCCCACTCTGCCGCGAGGGAACGTGCCAACTGTAGCAAGCCCGACTTGGATGTGTTGTAGGCCGCTGTATCAACACCCTAGAAAATTGAGCGTGCGGGTCAGACTCTCCTGCCTAGCTGTCGAACAAGGAGAAGCGGGCCCGAATGGCAAACTCACCTTGTTCACCACTGTTCCACTCATACTGGCAACCAGTATCATGCTGCCGTTGACGTTTGCCTTTTTCATTTCTCTCGCAACTGCTTGTGCTATGGCGAATGTTCCAATGACGTTGACCTCCATGAGTCGTCGGAATCGATCGATGGAGAATTCCACCGCAGGGTCATTGTCAGAAACGCCGGCACACGCGACGAGTCCTCGAATGGGATGGCCGAGTTTGGGGACCAGTTCGACGAATGTGGTCTCGATGGCCGTAGAATCGGTCAGGTCGAGTCGTTGGAAAATCAGGACTGCACCGTACTTTGCCGCCACCTCTTGCAAGTGCTCTGTCCGAGTCAATGCGGGACATCCTCAAAAACTAGGAGTCCAGTGGGGTGGGCGTTGACTGACTCCATGGCTCGGGCGGTGGTTGAGGTACAACGTCTACACATACGACGTGACCGCCAGCCTCCAGGACGGTTTCCGCCGTCTCAACTCCGAGATAACCTGCTCCGCCCGTGACTAAGGGAAAATCAACAAGTTCAGCGTTTGCACAAGGACGTGGTTGAGATGCACTCACTGATGATGGTTCGGCCATCTAGGCGAAAGAGGTCTGCTGTACGTAGGTGCGATCCTCCTTGTCTGTCCTTCACTTCGCGGAAACTAGGATCGGCCGTGTTGCTCATCTCGATGGTGCTTTTCGAGTGATAGTGAGGAGGCAATGGTGTGGTTTAATGATATCTCTAGCCCGAACAGGTGCGATATGGAAGCCGATCGCATTGGGTTTATGTTTGGTGAGGATGGTGTAGCCTCATCGTGCATTGTCTCGTCGTTCCAGATCAACAATGTCCCGGTTACCAGAAGTCCTTCGAGGGCCTCGATCCTCTTCCAGTATGCTACCCGAAGTGGGTCGATCCCTGACCCTGCGCTCGAAATTCCGAAGACCGGTCCTCAATTCCGGTCCGCAACCCGCCGCCAGCCGATCGTGGTGGAGATGACTGTGTGCACTGTGGGTTATTTTCGTCTTGCATTTGATGGCGGCTTTCGTCCGTATCAACGTGGTCGGCGCAGTCCAAGCGAGCAACGCTCCGTTGGCATTTGGGCCGCCTTCAGCCTCTTGAATGGCACAGCGGGTTTCATTCAAGTACGATCCTGATCCTACTCCTACGAAACATCGAGACCTTCCCATCGCCATTCGAAATTATCCAGCTTCTCTCTTCCGACGATTGCGACTCCCGGGCCACGACCACCACAAAGTACCATGGCGCCGCGACTTACAAGACCACTGGAAGGTAAATTGGCGGTTGTGACCGGCGCCTTTCGAGGTGGGTGATGCCACTCAGACCAGCGGATAGATTTTCTAGTCCCCAGAAGCTGATTTGCCGTGTGTATATAGGTATTGGAGCGGCCATTACCAAACACCTTGCTGCAAAGGGTGCCAATGTCGTGGGCCTTTACACTTCCGATTCGTCCTCGCCAGCGGCACAGGAAGGGGTCAAAGAACTCGGCCAGAAACACGGCGTCAAGATCGTAGCCGTGAAAGCGGATCTTGGTCGACCAGAGGAAGCCGCTCAAGAGCTGGTCAAAGCGGCAAAGGCCAACTTCGCAAGCAGCGGCGGGGAGCTGCTTATCAACATTCTCGTCAACAACGCAGGTGTCGGAGGTGACTATCCATTAGGAGAAGTTCCTATTCCGGAATTCCACCGTATTTATAGCATCAACGTCCTTGCTCCAATTGTCATCACTCAGGCTGTGTTGCCGTATTTGCCTCACGACCGATCCGGCCGCATTGTCAACATCTCGTCTGTAGCATCAGCCATGGGTTTCAAGACACACACGCTATACGGGGGCACCAAGGCTGCGCTGGAGGCCATGACACGGACTTGGGCACGAGAATTGTCGGAGCGTGCCACAGTCAATGCTGTAAATCCAGGCCCGGTCGAGGGCGACATGTACTGGGCAGCTGGCGAGGAATTTTGGAAACAGCTGGATCCCTTCCAACAGGCTACGCCGCTCTCGGCCGTGCGCGAAGGAGTCGACAGGCCTGAACTGGTACAATTGGCCAACGAGAAGATGGGAGGCAGGAGACCTGCTTATTGGTCTGAGGTGGCAGCTGTGGTAGGTATGGTCTGTGGAGAAGACTCAGCGTGGTGCACAGGCAGCGTAGTATGCGCCAACGGCGGCTTGAGATTTTCACTTTGAGCGGATGAAAACGAAGCAATTCCGAGCTTTTCCTGTCCAGGGAGGCGGAATCCAGGCCATACTGCGCAACTGAGCAGAGGTTCTGAATTTTGGCCAACGTGCCAAACATGGGGTTCTCATCCAGCTCGCGCGAATCTCTTTTTGTACAAGATTGTCTGGAGAATGCACAGAATTGACCCTGCGCTCGAGTCGGGCGAAGCCCAAGGCCTGACCATCACAATGACCTTTTGGACGAATTGCTTGATGTCCGGTACGAGGTGTTGTATCGATGGAGTTTCAGAGGCCAGTGCGAGTATGAAGACAGCGGAAAGGCACCTGGATCACACTCAGATTAGTCAAAGATCAAAGCCCGGCTCGGGGAGCTCGTACGCTTGTGTAGTCATCCACGTATACTGCGTTCGTCCGGACAAGACAAAGCTCGCGGTTTCGAGGTAGTTCATGCAACTCTCGACGCAAATTTTGCAATACTTATGCACGTAGTTAGGTATGTTCTCCTGATCTGTAACCGTGGTAACATATATCAGGCACGGTCTCGAAATGATGTGCCGAGCAGACCAGTACCGAAGACGGACCCAAGCTTCGGATTTATCGTGAGGCTTGTTATGGGACAAATCCGGCTTCACGCTCTCAGGTAGATAGAAGTACCATGTGTCAAGCTGGCGAGCCAGCTCGATGACGATTCCCTCCATGGACGCGACCACCGAGGCGCCAGGAGAGGTCGCCGACATGTCCGTCGCCCGTGTGTGCGAGGCGCTGTAGTTACCAAATGCGGCAATGATGCTGGATGCATAAATGGCGTTATGGATGCGATTTAGAAGCCTCCTCACCGAGCACAATGCCAGGAAGAGAAGTCCTCTTCGATCATTGGGGTTATCCAGGGTAGGAAAATGCATGCGGTCAATCGTGATCTCAATCCCGCTGCGCGGGAGGTGGAACTCGGCAAGAACATCACTGCGACCAAATGAGTGAGATTGCCCACGTCTGGTTGCCATCAACATACCACTCCAAGAGGAAACACGTCCAGCAAAGTCGCTCTGTAACCCGCGTGCCCAGCTCACACGGCGGGTGTGGTAGAGAGCTGTTTGTCTGAGTGTGAGCAACCAGCTCCAGAAGTTAGGATCAAGGCTTACCCGGTTACTGCCAGCTGCAGTTTGCTGGATGCCATGTAGACCATTTTCCAGGCAGGCAAAGGCTTGTTGAGATGAAAAAGGAATAGAGAAGCCAATATCATTGCGGCTGGGAGAGAGACTGGAGAATCCATTTCCACCATCCATTGAGATGTGAGAATTTGATGTGCGGCAGAGAAGTACTCGATGCCGGGGACATCTTGCAGGTTGGGGAATTCACCGCTTGTGCCAATGCTAGGGACAAATTTGCCCATCGCCAGCACCACCAGACAAAGCGCAACATCCGAAGATGGGCAGAGGTCTCCTTGCATGGTCCTCTCATAGAAGGCAAGGAAAGGAATATCCTCGAGGATGGGGAAGGACTGGCAAGAATGGTTGAAGAATGCGGAGATGTAAGAGTTCATGGTAGTCCGATCCATTTTAATGCCGTCGATTAAGGCAGCGAAATCCTTTTGCAGGTCGAATACCGGTGTAAATGTCCGTGAACATTCGAAATGGTAAAAGAAATCATCAGGATAATCACCGATCAATTTCTTGATGGGATTTAGAGAGAACAGGCTGTCGGTCGTGGTGTCATGTCCCGTCGGTATGGTCACAGGAACATCTTCCGAGACAGGCTGGCCTCGACTGCTCGGCAGCGGTTGTGATTCTGTGAACATCATGTATTCGTCCGAGTGTCGCGGGCGGGTTGATGAGGACGTCGGCAACGGTGGTCCGGAGGAAAGGAGGAAGCTCGCCAGCTCTAGGTCTCCTATTGGATCGCTGCTTGCGTCGCCGAGAGGAGCCCTCTGATAGAATTGGAAATGACTCGGAACGCTGAATGGTGACAAGGTCTGGTCCGTAGACCCAGCAGTTCGCGACTGTGTCGGTTCGAGAATAAGGCTGTCTGGCCGTTCCGTGAGCGACGCAAGATTCGACGGAGGTAATTGCTGATGGAGTCGTGGCATCGGTTGTGACTCCATGTGCTGCTGCTCATCCAGCCGCTGATCGTGCTCCTGCTGACCTGTCTGCTGGCCTGCCTGCGGGTGCTCGAGCTGATGTTCGGGCTGAGCTTGGTGCCGTGACTCTGTCTCCTTCTGCGGGCCTGGCGGCGAGCTGGTGCCAATTGACATTGCGTCCCTATCGCTGTGATCGGGCGTCGTTTGCGGCCGGCTTAGTTGCTGTTTGAGGATCGCTTCAATCGTCTCGAGTCGGTGCATGAGGGCATCGTCCTGGTGGGCGGCACTGTTCCGCCTGTCCGGTGGTCAGTACGTTGCTACACAGGGCCGAGTCTTGTGATTCACTTTTCATTCGAGTCTTGGGGATACTCGCAGTCGATCTTGCATATCGAGCAAAGTCCACAGGTCGGTCTCTGGCCGTCACACCGCCGTTTCCTGTCCCAGTCCCATCGTTAACAATTTGATCCAAGTCATCGCACAGCCGGTAAGTAGTCACCTGTGTCGGCAAAAGGCGCAGGCCATTGAGGCGCGCTTTCGGGGGTAATGCATGACTTGATGGGGATGGACATGGGACACTGTTTGGATGTCGAAACGCCTTGTGGGCTGATGGATACAAAGAGGGATCGAGGGGCAATGCTCACTATTTATTTGGGCTATGGTGGCATCATGTGGGCTATTTAGGCTGGACCAGGATTGACACGGAAGGGACATGATGGGGCCTCAATGGGCATCATGGGGCCTGCACCAGGCCAAGCAACGCCCAAATACCCCACGATGCCCCCGCAAGCAAGCCCAGAAGGACTTCGGTGTGCCTGCTCATAAGGAAGCACGCGATGCGAACCTCGGCATTCCCTTTCGTGTTCGACTGTACACAATGATGCACCGTACTATGGCGAGTATCGCACTCCCCAATCTCGCAAGTGCCTCCCTCACTCATTGTGCTCGATCATGTCTTAAAAGTCCATGGTGCTGGTCCAAGGAATCTGTGAGCGTACTGTGTAGACTTGCAGGGCCTTAGGGGTGCCAGCAGGGGGGCCAGCAGCACTCTCTGGGCAAGAATGCATCCCAGACCGCTTCGTAGACAGACTCAAACAGGCAAATCTGCAAGACGTTCTGAGGGCGTGCACGTGGTAGGTGGTTTGCTCACCCTACAGCCCAGCATCAGCCCAGCATCTTCCTATCGCTGGTCCACTACCAGACCGGCTATGTCCACACATCTGGAAACTTACCCCACCAATTGGTGTCCCAGCCATATCCTGATTGACGCTGTTGCGTGATAGATTTATTGGCGGTCAATGCAGCGGTAAGTAGTATTCAGGTAAGGACGGTGTATAAGAAGAGATTCGCCAGCAAAAAGGGGGGAGGACAATCAAAGACCTCTTCTCCTAACACCAAACGGATTCTTTCCGCTCGTTCATCGAGCCGATTTTTGTCTTCTTTTCCTGAGAACCATCGTACTTTACGTCGACCAGTTGCTCGAATCGACACAATGCTTCGGTGGCCTTCACATCCAGCGGCTGCCCCAGTCGATCCTCTCGACATTTTGGAGCCGGATCTGACCCTGGTGCGAACCAAGACTCCCGAGCGATGGTCCCAACCGCGCAGCAATATTCCAAGGGTCGCAGCCACCTTCTGGTGCTTCATCTTGTTGGGCGCCAACGACAGTTCATATGGCGTATGTGGCCCCCTAACAAGGCACCGCATACCATGCCTTTCCGTGCTAACCAAGACGCTCGCCGACAGGTTTTGATTCCACATGTAGGATACCATGTTCCATGCGCAGACTGTCCTAGTACGTTACCGCAGCGCTAATACTATACATGGTGGCAGCTCGAGTCGTACTACGACATATCCTACCTTGAGGTCTCACTTGTCCTCCTGGCACCTGCATTTGGGGGCTTTGTGAGCGCTTTCCTGAACCACAGCTTGCACATGTACATTGGCCAGAGAGGCATTGTCATCGTGGTCGGCTTTTGCCAGCTGGCTGCATACGTGACGGCGAGCTTCCACCCTCCTTTCCCCGTCCTAGTGCTCGTCTACATCCTTGTCGGTGTGAGCAACATGGCCAAAACGGGCGCCTGGAACGCCTTTGTGAGCAGCTTGCAGATGCCGAACGAGCTGCTCGGATTGTTACATGGCTTCTACGGCATTGGAGCGACTTTGGCGCCACTGGCGGGAAGCTCACTGATGTCCCAAAGGGACTGGAAATGGTACCAGTTCTACTATCTCTTTGTTGGCATGGCACTTCTCGACCTCGTATTTTCCAGCGTGGCATTTCGACATCAATCCGGTGCAAAGTACAAAGAGGGTATGAGCATCCATGTTGGAGCAAATGCCTCTCACGACGTGACAGTGGCACAGACCATGGAAAGAATACCATCATCGTCTCGACCACGCCTTGGACGTCACGTATCGTCCTGCATCTCTGCAGGGTGGCAAAACTGCAAGAAGAGTCAAACAGGCGTTTGCTTGAGTAACAAGATTGTGCCTCTTTGCAGCCTATACTTGCTGGCATATGTGGGAAGCGAGGTCGCACTGGGAGGGTGGCTTGTGACGTTCATGACCAAAGTCCGCAAAGGTTCTCAGTTCGCTTCTGGCGTCACCCCCAGCGGCCTCTGGGGTGGCATCACCGTGGGCAGGTTCTTCCTAGGCTTCATCACTGGTCGGTTCTTCAGAAACGAGAAACAGGCAACCTACGTCTATCTCAGCCTGGCAGTGGTCATGGAGCTGCTTTTCTGGCTGGTGCCGAATTTTCTGGCATCAGCGGTCTTTGTGTCTTTGCTAGGTACGTGTTTCGTCCCTCACTGTCACGGCCGTCCATCCCGCACAAGTCGATTTGAAGTCAGCACTCACTCCCCATCAGGCTTCTTCTTGGGTCCCTTATTCCCCGCAACCGTTGTATACCTCAGCAAGACTCTCCCCTCGAAGATCCGCGTGAGCGCTATTGGACTGTGTTCTGCTATTGGTGCTACAGGAGCATCGGTCATTCCATTCATGGTCGGAAGTGTCGCTCAGGCGCGAGGAATCGGAGTCCTACAGCCTATAGTGCTTGCCTTTTTGATCCTCTGCTTTGTTCTGTGGATGAGTCTGCCAAAAGTCCCTAAGAAGTGATGGGAGTTTGTTGGGAATGCGGATCTGAACAAATCACCGAGTGAACCGACAGCCTCACTGAAGGACTTCCATGTAGGAACGACACACACTTATTGGTGACGAGTTTTTGGGGGTCTAGCTCTGGACATGATATCTCATTTTGGAGACTCTTCAACTTCTACCGATTCTATCTGCCACAGAAAGACACTTGGCCCAGTCAATTGTCTAAAAAGGCTCAAACAGTCCCGCAGCACGCTCTTCTGACGTGTCAAACACGTTGACCTCCCATGCAGGATCAAATGTAAATGGCAAGCCGCCGAACCTTGTCTGCTGATTTTCTCCCAAGTCAAGAAGCGCTTTATAGCTACATGGATATCAGCCGAAGCATTCTTAGGTTTTGGGGAGGGAGTATGGCACCTATCGTCGTCCAGATCGTATACCTGAAAGTTGGACTCGATCCGAGCCGGGTTGACAGACTTGGGAAGCACGGAAAACCCTCGCTGTGAGGCCATGTCAGTGACTCTCGCAGGTGCCATGATCGATCACCTCTGCAAGCTCACCTTGATACCCCAGGAACCCAGCACTTGGCCCACATCCTTGTTGTGTTTCTTTGCGATGTCGCGTACCAACGGATTCCCAAGCACTTGAGCACCTCCACGTGACGGATCACCACCGAATGGCATGTACGCCGTGATGTGTATGCCTTTTGGCTTACAGTAATCCAACAGTTCTTGTTGGGGGAGATATGGGTGTGCCTCAACTGTTTGCGTATCGTGTAAGAAGCTGAACAAAGATTTTTGGGGCCACCAAGTTCGCATAGTGATGATGCACTGACCTTGGTTGACGGCTGGGGTTACACCAGTCTCGTCGATCAACTTTTGGATCTGGTTAGGACGGAAGTTGCTGACTCCAATACTTCCATGGTCAGTCTCCCGTACGTATTGTTCCATGACTGCCATGCATACCTCTTGACCTTGCCCGCTTTCTGTAGCTCGATCATGGCTCTCCAGGTATCAGTCAAACTCAATTCCTTATCGAGTAGCATTGACTTTCCCTCTTTCGGCTCAAGCTTTATGCCTGTGGGCGACGTGGCACTCTCGACGGCTGCGAAGTTTACCGGCCAGTGAATCTGTCTCCATGTCAAACTCGATATTCTCGAAACAGATACATGGACCCTCGTACGAGATACAGGTCTAGGTAATGGGTGCCGAGTTCGCTTAGTGTCTGAGCCAGTGCCTTCTTCAGATTTTCTGGACGGTGATGACTGGACCCAGTTCAGTGTGTGCCACATCTTCGCGAGCGAGTCAGGAAACGAATCCGCTCACGAGTTCCAAGCTTTGCTGGTGATGAAGATGTCTTCTCTTCTGAACTCGCGTTCGGTGCGAGCAAGGATTTTCAGGGCTTCTCCGACTTCTTTCTCATTCTAGGCGAACAGTCAGTGGTTTGTTTAGGGTGCAAGGGGCAATCTGGTGCAAGGTCTTACGCGATAAAACTGCGCGCAGTCGAAATGTCTGATGCCGGATTTCCAACTGTAGCCAGAATTTCAGCATCAGTGCTGCTTGACTTCCTGGACAAGGGGCTTCGCACGCTACCACAACAGCATTAGTGACTTCATTTGGGGCAGAGAGATAGGTCCCCAGGCCGAAGACAGGAATCAAGTTGCCATCGACCAACTTGGCCGTGCGCGCTTGGGTAGTCGTTGTCATGATGGTAGAACTGGCAGGAATACCCAACGACGAGCAAGCCTCAATCTGGCACTATCACACTGACTGATGGGCGAGTTTAACCTTGGAACATAATCCAGAGTCCCCGTTCCATGGCCATCCCCAATTAATCCTTACAGGCTTTTAAGACTTACATGCTTGTGGTGGTCCGTATGAGCTCGACACATGTTTGCGGGTATAGACAACAACATTCGGACTGGCTCCACTGGGAAGAAAGATGGACCGGAGCTGGCGTGCAAGTAAACAGACGTAGATCGTCAAGATGAGCTGCAGACTAAGACAGTATGACGGATGGTGTCGTTGTTCCAAAGACACGAGCCAGCGGCTTTGCGGCGGCCATGCCCCGCGGCTGATTGTCGGGTATGTCGGTCAGTGGGTAGTGCTATCCACTGGGCCATGTCGAGGAGGATGGTGGAAGATCTTGATCCACGTCCAGCAAAGCGCTTTCAGCGCATTGGGGGACAAGCACCCATGTTGCGGCAGACTATAACCTCAACTTCATCCGGAAGAATATGAACAATCATGTGCACTACTACTGGCCGGCAGTGGACTTTCAAGGCACGTGATCTTCCTGAACGGTCTCTCCAGAGAACAAAACACCACCATCGTAGGTGTCGAGAGCCTCGATAAAGCATTGGACAAGCAATTGGAATCCCTTGAAAGGCCCAGAATGACCAATCAAGGCGCCCAGACCAACGGAGTGAAGCCGCGCAGCGTGCTAGAGGCGCTCGAAGACATTTGCAACGTCGACGTCGATGCAATTGACCCGAAAGTGTCGACTTCACTCCCGTTCAAGGCCCACAACCGTACGTACAGCGGCTATGCTACAGAGAGACTCGATGATACTGACGAGACAAGAAACCTCAAACCAAGTCATTTGCTGCAACACAATGCTTGATCCGGAATTCAAGCACATCTTCAACGAAAATGTAGAGAAATACGGCTCTCAAGGGTGGTTGGAAGTCTTCAATCGTGTGGTAAGAATCTTCGTTCCACGCACGACCCTTTCTATTTCTCTTTGTAGCACAGAGGTTGACAGCCTTGTAGTCGGTGCAGTTTTGTGTCAACAACTTGAAGAACATCACTGGCCGAGTCTTGGTCCAAGTCTCACCCTCCAAGGTTTACGACAAGCAGGCCGTCTTGGATCAATGTTACGCTTACGATAAAGCCTTTACGGGAGCGGGTGTGTCTCGCGACCGATATGCCATCAAAATCCCCGGCACAGGGCCAGGACTGTCCGCTGCCAAAATCCTCAATGCTGAGGGCATCCGCATATTGGGCACGTCGCTCTTCAGTCTGCCTCAAGCGATTGCCGCCAGCCAGGCCGGATGTTTGTATGTCAGCCCGTATTTCAATGGTCAGTAGGCTTTCCAAGGTCGCCTTTGGGATTTGCAAAGCTCACGTCCTGTCCAGAGGTCGCTGCGTACTCGGATGACAGCCTGATGCACAAGGGTGCCGACCCGACAATGACGGTGAGGCGAGCCCCTCCACACATTAACGGCGAGGACAAGGCTGACTCCAAATCTGTAGCACCCGATGGCTCCACGAATCAGTCAGATTCTGCAGACGTACGCCGAGCTGTACCAGGAGACTGGCAAAGACCAGCCGCTCATTGTCATGGCCAGGTACGTCCCTGCCTCCTTTTACCTTGCAATTTGCCGAGTCTGACCTTTTCCGTGCCAACCTAGTAACGCGAATATCGGTGAAATCATTGCCAACGCGGAACTCGGATGTCAGCACATTACCATCCTCGCCGCCCATCTGGAGGAACTGAGGGACACGCCTCTGGACGAGACGGTCTTAGACAAATATCCGTTTCTCAAGAACCCTCCACCAAAAAAGCAAGCGCCTTACTATTCCAACTACAGCACTCCCCAGCGTCTGCAAGGCCATTTGAAGATCGACCCTCTCGCCGGCCCCGACTGGGACGGTGTTCTGGCCAGTACAAAAACTGACTGGCTCGCGGATGATGGAAAGGCGCTGTCCGAGGCCATTTCATCGGACCCTGCTGTGGTTCGAAAGATGAAAGATGTCTTGAACGCCTTCTCTGAGGCTGAAGTCAAGGCCAAAACCGCAATCGAGAGTGCCCTGAAATAAAATCTACTCTGGATGGAGAAGAGGGTCAGAAGCATGGACTCCTAAAATCCTGTAGAGATATGAGTAATGATAGTTGGCCCAGACTGACATTCTCTCGCGTCTGGTTGGTTAATTATTCCTTAGTAGGTGACCTACCTAGCTTCCTACGACCCCTATCCGACGCGTGTTAAACGCGTCGGTCCGTCCAAATAAATGACTTTCGTATAGAAATATACTCTACTCTGTCCGTGTAAGGGAAGCGGTAGATAGACAGGTTGATAGAAGCAATAACGCCTAGTACTGATAGCTCTAGCCCTATATACAGAGACTCAAAGCCTTAAAGAGGGTTTGAGCAGGGTGCGCGCAGCATACGCCCCTAATATATTATGTAACCTTAGCGCCCATACTTAGCCGGTTTATTATGTTTAGGGAGAGATCCCTAACAACTACCCCCTCCCCCTAAGGCGCTTACCCTCAAGCGCTAGGTATTCGTTAGCCGTTAGGAACAACGTATAGTTAGTCTTAGCGAGTCTCGTATATGAATCTAGTGCACCTCGTGAGTACTATATACGCCGCGCTAAGACACCTTCCATTGTTTTAGTGTTTATTTTATTAGGGGTCCTAATCTAGACTAGCGCCTAATACCGAAACTTTTCCCATAAATCTCTCTTCCTCTTCCTCTTTTATTTTATTTTCTCTTCTTTATCTTCAGATCTACGTCTCGTATACGCCGCATATGCGCTCTCCATCCGTTTTATATCCGTTTCGCCTACTCTACGCCTATAAGACTTATTCAACTTAAGATACCTCCTAAGTTACGCCCCGGTGAGTACTCTACCCCACTTCTATAAGCGCAGCGGGTACGCTAACCCTACGTTTAGCCCACGTACTGCCTCCGCGCCTATTATTCACCATAACGTACTAGCGCCGTCATGAGTTTTATTAACGTTATGTTCGCGCCCTAGGTATCGACGCCGATACTACCGTCTACTCTATCAACCCCGGTTCCGTTAAGTACACCCGCTACTAGGCCGGTTATACCGATTGTCGCACGGTAAGCGTACCCAAAACGTATGCGAAACGCACTCTAATTTTTTCCAGGTCCCTATTAACTACTAGAGGATTATTAACGAGCTTATCGATAATTAGTTATCTCGTGATGAAGATTAACCCCTCCGGTCCTATACGTTTTTCCTACGCTTCGCCTACGCTTCGTGTGCGCTCCCCCTATTAACTACCTATATAGATCCTAATCTACGCTAGGCCT